AGCTTGCCCAACACTACCTCTTCCGTAATAATGATTGTTTCCAGGTCCTCACCTACCTTCGTCTCTTTGTCAATTACTGGCATGTTATTAGTGTCCTCCACTGTGAAGATCGATACAAAATACCTGTTCAATGCCTCGGCCATTTCATCATATCCCATAACTAAATTCCCCTTCTCATCCTCTAAAGGGCCAACGTTTACTTTAGCCACTCTTTTTCGTTTTATATATTTATAGAAACTTTTGCTATCTGTCTTTATATTCTGTGCTAGTTTTTTCTCATGTTCTATCTTACTTTCCTTTATAGCTCTTTTTGTGGCTTTCTGTTGACCTTTAAAGTTTTCCCAATCTTCTAGTTTCATCCTGTTTTTGGCCACTTTGTATGCCTTCTCTTTCAATTTGATAGCCTCCCTTATTTCTTTAGACACCCATGGCAGATTACCCCTTCCAAGACACTTAACATCCTGACTTGGAAATATATCATCAAAACAGATTCTTGTGGGAAAACAGTAATTATTCCTCCAATTAGAGTATCTGCCTAACAACCCTACTCTCCACTCCCTCTCACTCGTCCAGCTTATAAATAGGTCAACACCATCTCTGAATCAAAATTAGTTTAATTGGATTGTCGAGCCTGAAATCTTCTACCTCTACTGCAAATACAAATACAAAGTAATGAATTAACATGTCATCCACTTCCTCATTTTGTGAGGGACTTGAAAAATGTCTTCTGGAAGTCCATTAAATGAAATCCTTAAGCATTCCAATGTTCACACCTTTAATCACACATTTAGAAAATTCGATTTGTTTTGTCAAATATTTCTCTGAGCAGCATAAAATTTTCTCGGTATTCAGTTATCTTCGACTATAGACACCAGTAGGCTTCCAACAACAGATGTTAAAATAATTGATCTATAATGGCCTGCTTTTTATCTCTCAACTTTTAAAAATAGAAACATGCAATTTTCCAATCTCAAGAATTGGCTCCTGATTTGGGAAAACTTTGGATGATTGATCCGCAGTTCTTTTGGTTTTTATTTGGATGATTATAGTTAAGTTAATTGTAATGTTGTCACTTACTTTCGTTAGATGCCTGTGTTGGAATCAATCAGGTCATGTGAGTTTATCATTCTTTAGTGCCATTGTTCTCTTCATTACTGTTAACTGCTTGCATCATTTGTAACGAATCCCCAACTCTGATTCAAAATCAGTTTCCTTGAGTTATCTAGTCTGCAATCTTCTACCTCTACTGAAAATATAGACACTAAGTAATGAATGAACATGTTCTCCACTTCCTTATTTTCATTTACAATATCACCATCTTTGTTTTTAAGGGTCCCCTTTCCTCTTGACCCACTTCTTTCTCCTAATATTGAAGAAAATATTTATTTCTGTACAGGGAAATAGAACATGTTATTTAACTATCTCCATAATATACAGTCAAAACAAAGTCATTGACTGCAACTATTAATTCAGAAAAATTCTAACAGCTACACTTACTTGAAGCATATCAATTTTTAATTCAGAATTTATGCCCTCTCGTCCAGCAGTATGTTAAATTATCTGATTGCTTCCACATTTCCCAGACTTTCCCTACTTTTAAAAGCTCAAAACACTTTTCCTGGAACTATTCCATTTGAACAAGAATAATTTTATTATCTTACCTTCATGTGTTGATAGTCTGAGAGCTCGAATTACCTTGCTTATTCTTTTTCAGAATCCTCTCCAGTGTACCAATGTTCATTTGAGGATAAAATGCACAAACCTGCAGACAGATTTCCAAATATTGCCTTATTGATGAATTATATAAGATTAATATCAGTTGCTTTGACTTATAGTTGATAGTTCTTGAGACATATTTCAGTAGCTGATCTACTTTTTGACAATAATCTAGACGTGACAGAGTAAATTCAATAAATGCTCATTCATTGTATCCACCTCATTTTTCCTTTGTCATGGCCACCATTCATCATACCTGCCATTTAGTTTGCACCACCTGTAATCAGCAAACTCTGCACTGATGTTTTATTTTGATTATTTTCCATGCTTCCCATTTTATTTTCATTTAGTTTTTGTGACTTTCATTTGATATATGTTAATGTCAATCTAGATATGCCGAGCCCACTATTCACTATATATATAAATAAAATTTGATGAGAGAACTAAATGTAATCTCTCCAAATGAGATAATATGGCAAATAAAATAATCAAATAGTTTGTTTCTGTCTTCAGTAGAGAGGATACAAAGAAATTCCAGAAATAACTGTCAAACAGGAAGTGGAAGGAAAAGCAGAACTTCATGAACTTATAATCTCCAAGAAGTGGCACAAACCAAACTAATGATACTGCAGTCTAATATGTCTTCTGGTCCAGATGAACTTCATCCTTTGGGATTAAAAGAGGTGGCTAATGGGGCAGTTGATACATTGGTGACAAGTTCCAAAATTCCCTACATTCAGGAAAGGTTCTATCAGAATGGAAAGGAGCAACATTAAGCCCTCCATTGAAGAAGGGAAGGAGATGGAAAACAGGAAGCTATAGGCTAATTAGCTTAGAGACAGTAAGGACTACAGATGCTGGAAGCTGGAGTGAATAACTGTAGAACTGGAAAAGCACAGTCAGTCAGACAGCATCTGAGGAGCAGGAAAGTCAACATTTCGGGCCAAAACCACGAAACGTTGACTTTCCTGCTCCTTGGATGCTGTCTGACCAGCCAGGCTAGTTAGCTTGATATCCATTGTGGGGAAGTTTTTGGAATCAATCATAAAGGATGTTTTACCTGGACATTTTAAAAAAAAATACTCAAGGTATTCAGGAAGAGTCAGCGTGATTTTGTGAAGATCAAATCAATTTTAAGTAATTCATTAGACATCCTCAAATGAGTAACATGATCTGTAGATAAAAGAGAGCTAGTGGATGTACCATATTTAGATTTCCAGAAAGCATTTGATTGGGTGCAACATCAAAGATTATTGCACAAAATACAACCTTATGGGTAAGGGTTACAATATTAGAATGTATAGAAAATTAGCTGGATGGCAGAAATCAAAGTATGTATAAATGGTTCTTTGTCTGATTCACAGAATGTGATGAGAGGAGTCCTGTAGTGGTCTCTGTCTGGCCTCAACATTTTACAATTTCCATCAGTGACTTAGATGAAGGGAGCAAAGACATGGTTGTTACATTTGCAAATGACACAAAGATGGGTAGGAATGATTGCTGTGAAGAAGACAGAAGGGGTTTGCAGCAGTATACAGATAGATTGAGTTAGTGGGGAAAAACATCTGGTAAATGGAGTGTGTTGTGGGAAAACATGAAGTTGTTCACTTTGCAGGAATAATGAAAAAGCAACAAAGTTTTCCATTTAAATGGAGAATAACTGCAGCATTCTGAGGCGCAGAATGGTTTCGATGCTGAGGTGCATGAATCCAAAGTATTAGTATGCAGATACAGGATATAGTCAAAAAGACTATTAACTTGTACAATAGTACCTTTGAGGGGAATTCTATACTGTTGTATTCATCACATGCATAGTGAAAAAGAAATAGCACAGAAACATGCTGGGTAACTATGAAGAACACAGCCTTATTTCAAATTGGTGCAGTAAATTATTCTCTACAGCAGTATAATATAAATTCATGAGAAACAATTTTAATATTTGACATTTTTTTAAATGGATATGATTTGATTAGCCACACATTTTTATATATCCACCTTAATATTAGCTGCTGCTGACGTTTGAAGGAATGTAAATTGAGCATGGCACTTAATTAATTATGACTATTTAATATTTAAACTAATGGAGTAATTTTAACTTTAACACATAATTTAGAGTTGTGATTTTCAGAGACCCACCTGGAAATAGAGCTTTCTAGCCTTAGAATACATAGTTGGTATCTGATGTTCTATTTTCTTTATATGATTGATAGAATGCTGATGAACACTTGTTATTTTTGAAGGAAGGTAGTAAAACAATCCTTCTAGCCAGAAATAGCCTGAAGCATTTAAACTCCTATCTGCTGCATCTCAATAACGTGCCTGAACTCACAATCTCCTGTTTGTCTATTTGTCAAATGAACATCTTTAACTGGTCAATTTAGTGATAATTTGTTTCACTTAATTGACAGTCATGTGATCTGAGCTTGTACCCATGATTTTTTGCTTTAAAAACAGTGAGAGAATGTAGGTTACTTTGTTTTTTTGAAAAGTGAGTACAGTAGAATTTTGTGAGCAGGATAGTAGACAGCCCTTTCATCCTGGTTCAACCTTTTGAAGACAAAGTAGGTGGTCATAGGAAAACAGGATGGTGACTCGTTGGTATTTCTTCAGTGTTGCTTTTGATTAACCAAATGATTTAAATCTAGGAGAGATTATAACAGATGAATGTGACCAGTTAAAAATTTAACTTTTAAAATAGCTAATGTCTAAACTAACAAGGTAATGGAATAGAGATACCTGGATAGGTGTGGTGTTGTAGCTGAAATATGTGGGATATGGTGTCCACATCTGTAGTGAAGAGTAACTGCTTGAGAAACTCTTCCTCTGAATTGATGAGCTGGAGTGCAGGTGTGGATACTACAACTTATCAAAAACAGGGAAAAGTAATTGGATGCTGATTCAGGAGGTAGTCATGTCCCTTTTGTTAGTTACCACAAACTTGGTATTTGGTCAGGAACAGGATGTAATTATGGGTGAGGTAGGTGTTTGGAATTTAGTTCTAGAGTGGCCTCAGGCAGTGCCTTTGCCCAATAGGCTTTTGTTTCTAAGGTTTTGGAGTCGATTTGTAGTTCAGGTTGTGGGTGTTGAGATAACAAGGTGTAGAGCTGGATGAACACAGCAGGCCAAGCAGCATCATAGGAGCAGGAAGGCTGATGTTTTGGGCCTAGACCCTTCATCAGAAAGGTTGGCTGGTTTCTTGTCTCTGTGGATGAGGATACAGATTGCAGGGAGAATGAGCAAATGGTGTTCCAGGTACTGAGCATTGTAGTACCCACAAATCACAACTTCTCAACATGAGAATGGCTAGAGAGTAGGAATAAAGGGGTCAATTATTAAGCTATGCTACCACATTATCTCTTATACTATTTGTTTTAATAGGCTCTAATCAGCTTCCTGTGGGGCATTTTATAACCAAGCAATTAAATGTAAGTATAATATAGTTCTTTATCAATTTTGTTTGTTAGTTGTTTGAAGATTATTTCCAGTTTGCAAATCCATGCTGACTGTGCCTAATCAGACCACTTTAAACAAGGTTTTTAATCCCAACCTTTATCAAAGTCACATACCTGTAGTAGTTTGAAAGCTACTCACTACAATAACTTTCAAATGTAACTAGGGATGGATAATAAGCACTGCAACACCTGTATTTGATGAGGGAACTGACTGAATTTTTCTTTTTTTTTTAAGAAAAAACCACAAACATCTCTTTGATTATAGGAAAGATGTTGTAAAACCTGAAATGGTTCAAAAAAGACTTGCAAGATGTTGACGGGTTTAAACTACAGGGAGATCTCAAATCAGTTGAGACTATTTTTCCCTAGAGTATTAGAGGCTGATGGGTTCCCTTTATAGAAGTTTATAAAATCATGAGGGGCATAGATAGGATGAATAACTAAGGCCTTCCCCTAGGTTAAGGGAGGCCAAAACTAGATGGTGTAAGTTTTAAGGTGAGAAGGGAAAGATTTAAAAGGGGGCCGAAAGGGCAACTTTTCCTCAGGGTGGTGTGCATATGGAATGAGCTGCCAGATGAAGTAGAAGAGTCTGGTGTAATTGCCACACTTAAAGCATCTGGATGGGTGCATGAATAGGCAGTTTTTAGAGGTATATTGGCCTATTGCTGGCAAATAGGACTAGATTGACTTTTGGATGTCTTGTTGGTAGGAACAAGTTGGAACAAAGGGTTAAGTTTTGTGCTGTACATCTGGCACGTGGTGTAAGGCTAACAGGTCTGTAGTTGAGTTCTCTGGTCTAGGAAGCTTCTTGATAGGTTTAGCAGCTATACTTTTGGAAGTTAATACAGAATATTTGCTAAACACTACCAGCATTACTATCTCCATTCCAGTTTGACATCCTGAAAGGACAGGAGGGTTAGTGAAATCACTCCATCTAACACCAGAGTATCTAAAATGATGTTTGAGGGCAATGACAAAGATCAACTTATGCAGCATAAAATGTTTTGCTTTGTCTTCAATATAAATTCACTTTCAACCATAATGAGTCTTGTGCTTTTATATCAGAGTCATGGGGTCATGTAAAGAAGTGAGTTGAGCCACACATCAAATGCGGAACAGTTTTGATCCTTATCTTAAAGATTCTCTCAGTGGAGACAATTCAAAAAGGTAATTAGGCTGATATCCAGTATGAAGGGATTTTTGTGAGAGTTTGAGTAGACTGGACTTCTACTTAATAAAGTTTAGTAGAATGAGGTAACTTGATAGAAACATACAAGATTCTTAGGAGCATGGACAGGATAGATAGTGTAAAGATATGGGAGAGTCTGGGATCAGAGGACATGCTTTCAAAGTAAAGGTTGCCAGTTAGGACAGGGATGAGGAGGAACTTTCTCTCAGGATAGTAAGTCTATGGCATTCTTTACCATGAATGGCTGTCAAAGCTCAGTTAATAACACTTCAAGTCTGAGCTAAACATGTTTTTAATCAGTAAGGAATTGAGGATTATGGAGAAAGTAGGAAAGTAGATTTGGAGATCAGATCTGCTTTCATTCCATTGAGTGATGGAGCCAATTTGATGGGTCAAATGGCCTCTCCGCTCTTGTTTTATGGTCTTGTATGGAGACTGTTTAGCTGCATTGCTCAACAAAGAGCCAGTCTCCATAGTCCATTCTATCCCTCTAGCTCTACAGTCATGCAACTGTTTGGGTCGTCTTTGAATGCCAATTAGCACACAACCACATTGACTTGTGGTTCAGGAAGATGCCCATATCAGAGGCAAAGTTGGAGGAGCTTGACTGTTCTAATACCCCAGGAGGAACCACAAAAGGAAAAACAGCATATGCCCTCAGACTCTGGGGGATGGATGTAGTGATTGCAATGTGGTCAACCAGGTTGACTTCATAGAAGGTCCCTGATTGGGACAGATTAACAACCTCAAACAGGGAGCCCTGGCTGAAAGATGAGTGTCAGACATCCTATTCACTGAAGTGGATCAGTCAAAAACTCTCCACACGCAAATAAAAGGTGACTTGGTGACCAGATACCAGCCTCTGGCGATATTTTAGTCAGTATCTGACTGGAAACTCTCTGGTGGGATTTCCTGTTGCTGTGGGGCAGAATTTTTATCAAGAAAATTTGTAGCCAGTCAACTGTTAAATTGCTTCACAGCAAACTGCCAACCAAAGACCAGCTGAGGTCTCCCTCCACAGTTGCTGCCAGATCTGTTGGGTTTCTCTGGCTTTCTCTGCATTTGTTTTAGATTTCCAGGCATTTGTTAGAGGTCAGCTCACCCTTTTTTAGCATCAGCTTTGGGTCTACTGACCCCATTAGCAGGGTTTAATGACTACCCACAATTCCTAGTAGTCCATCATGCAGTAAAAAATTTGTTTTAATATTGGTGAAGAGAATGAAAGAAATGAGCATCTGATGACTGCTGATTCTCTTATGCCACCTTCCTCTGTAAACAGCCAGATAATGGAGATACATTCTGTACACTTAAGCAATATGAAGAAGTGAATGCTTTTTTAAAAAGCTGCTATTGAAGACTCCTATGGGAAGTATTCATGTCACTCAAATTTTTTTAGATGAAGTAAAACCAAGCTTTTTTCAACAAGTTTAAATTGAATTTGATGTAAGAGTCACAAATCAGCCAATCTTTGACTTGTTGAAAAAATTAAAATTGAGGAGAATAAGACATGAATGACTACTCACTTACAAGGAAAAGTGAGAGTTGGTTTCACATACCACGATCCTTAAAGTGCAACCTCAACATTTTTAACATGGCTTCTCTCACTAACTCTGAAGCATCAAAGATATGGACGTTTGGTTGATTACTTGCCTGCATTACCCTAATGAACAGAGACTAGCAACAGAGAATACAGTAATCCATTTTCTGAGTACAACTTATTCATGGCTAATTTCAGTTTACAGCTAGTTAAAGAAGCAAATTTTTGAGGAAATGTCTGAAGTGATGCCATGCACTTGGTGTTTTTTTTTAAAACAAAAGTGAATAATGTTTGTTTTACCTATTATGCACCAACTGTTCTAAAACCACAATGGAAAATTTCTAACTAATGCCTCCACTGGAGGTAAAAGATAGATACTCACTCACTCTCAATATTTAGTGAGGGGGGAGTATTCAATTCATCTGGACTTTCATTTTGAATTCACAGGGCAAGAGGGTCAGGTCTTTGCAAAGGCAAACCAAATCTCAACATCCTGAAAAGTTCACTAACTTCTGGAAAATGAATCCCTCAAGACTACAGTGCTGATAACAATGACCTCTACTCCACAGCTGAGCTGCAATGATGACAGGAAATTTTGGCAGGGCAAGAAATTATATTATCCTGGTATCTGCTTTATTTCTTTGCTTGTGATAATCACACTGGAAGTAGGGGCTCCCGCTGAGCTGCCATATGGCCCAGTTGTAAAGGCTAGCAAAGCAAGCTATCTTTTTTTCACATATGTACATTGTCTCAAATATTTATACACTTTCAATGATAAACTAAACCAAATTCATGGTATTTTTTCCATAAATTGGAATGGGTAGCTTGGTCTTCTACACTTTTTTTCAGCCTTCTGAATTTGTTTGATTCCTAATTCTATTGATTCTTGTACATTGATCCCTGGGGCTGACTTTATTCATTGTGGCGATTTAATACCCAGAGCAAATCACTTCAGAATGTGAAAAAATAAATTTGGGACCTGTCATCTGCTTGAATGCTTTTTTTCTGAAACTAAGGAGTAAGCCAGGCCTGTGACTGGTAATGGAATCTCTGTCAGCACAATCTCATGTCGCTACTTTTTTGAGATGCCCTAACACATCATGGCCCATTCAGGCTCTTGATAAATCAGCAGAAGATGCAGTAAATCAAGAGCCCTAGTGATGGATGATGCTGGCCAGAGGTCTGGACCTCTAATGAATATTAATGGACAGTGGGATACAGTGGTTGTTGTTGGTACTGCACCTATCTGAAGCTGGGGATCATTCCTGGGTGTAGGCTCACAGGTGAGCAATGGTGGAAGAGTGAGTGTAGAGACGAGGCTGCTGAGGAGGGTTGGGAAGAGGATTAAAGAAAGGGGAACAAGCTGGCTCTCAGTTGGTTCCCTTATTTCCCAATCCTGCATCTTCAGCAGGATCAACATCTTGGAAACAACTTTGCATGTCAAGCTTTCTGTACCTTAAGCACTGTACTTGTTGCTGGATTACCACCAGGGTTTGTGGGACATAACTCTTTAGGCTGGCACTCTTTTTGGCGATACAAGCGTTTCAAGTGGGCATGTCATCCATATTGTATCCCACCATAGCTTGATCAGATTAGAGTTGAGAAAGAGATACTCCCCACTCTTCTATCTAATGAAATGCCTCTCCACTTCACCCCCATCCCCTGCCTTGCCTCACCACAGCTGAGGGCAGACAAGTCTAGATTTAGACCCTGAAGCAGGCTGTACCTCACTGACCTATTGCCAAACTGTTGCAATTAGTTTTTAATATCCTACTTGATCTGAGGGCACCAGGCATATGAGACTGAGACTGCTGCCTAGTTAAAAATAATATTTATCAGTATTTTAAAATTAATCCTTACCAAAACAGTTGAGCTTCAATTTTCAATCTGGAGTCAGGAACCCAAGAATCAGATCACTACCAGGCAACCAGCCTGAACCAAGTGAGCATCACGGACACTATGCAATTTTGAGAATGTAAGGTCCTAACTGAGCTGAAGACAATGTTGGTACTCAGTTAGGGTTTTGGGTCCAAGGATGGGCTGAGAACTAGTTCTGGGCAAAAACATTAAAAGGCCAGCAGGACCCATTCCTGCACTAGGAATGGAGTAGGCAGGACTGAAGAGAGCCAGCAGCAGTATAGTGCATATAAGCATCCAGATTCTCACTTCTCAACTGATGGTACCTTCATGTCACTGCACCAACACGTGTAATATGAACACTGACGCACCATCAGAGGATGTTATTTTTCAAAGCAAGCTCACACCTGACCTTGCTCACAGACCCAATTGAAAACCCAGCTCCAGTAATAAAAGAAACATTGATGGGTATTTTAATTTTAAAGCTGAAGTAAATACATTCTTTTGAATGGAAAATGCTCATAAAGGAGTGAGTTTCTCATTCTAAACATGAAGATGCAAAAGCTTATAGTTTTACAATAGCTCTGAAGCCGATAGCCTCCTGAATAGGATTTGTTAATGAACTAAAAGTGATCAGATTTTTTCTTTCCAGAGGTTCATGAGTTGAAAAATAGCTTTAATTCCAGCTTTAGTAAAAATATAATAATCCTGTGGCATCAATATAGATTGTCACTCGTTACCATGACCACCACAGACCAAGTTACAGTGTAATTACTGATAACCCTGAACCTTGCCTCTGAGGTAATGGCTTAGTGTTTTTTTTTTGAACATACAAAATAACCTTATCCAAGGCAACTGGAGACTGAAAGGTCACACCAACAATGTTTGGCAAAGTAATGTCAACACAGTATGCTGTTTCTTAATTTCAGAGAACTGAGAAACTGTTACCCTTTACACATATTCAAATATGAAATATACCTAATCCTGCACCCTAATTCAAAATAAAGCAAAAAAATCTTATGACCCAATAAGATTATTTAATGTGCAAATGGACCATACAAACAAGGAAAGTTCTAGGTTTGATCTTCAGACTGGCTCGACTTAGTTCGATGCAGGGGAACTACGGTCGATCTCAGCATCCTTACGGCTAAATTGGAGAGGCTTGGACTCCTGAGGCTGGATTTAATGCTCTCGTCTCTCCAAGTATCCTATTTGTTTGAAAGCAGCAACAACCTCTGGTAAAGGTTCAGTGTAATACTAGCAATGGCTGTAATTTCACATGATGACATTCATCTCCTGATTACGCCCCCCCCCCCCCCCCGCCCCCCACCCACCCATGTGACATTTTGGCTGGTGCAAGGAGTCTGGTGTTCCATTTAATCCAGCCTTCTTGCTAATCTGTTTTGAAATATATACGTAAATAGTGGACTAATGATGAATGAAATCTAGTTGCAATACCTCTTTAAATAAGTAGCTGACCAATATTTATTAACAAGGCTCACAATTAACAACGTGTGCCAGATACAAAAGGAAGATGATAGCTAGTAAACCCACATCCTTTTAAAGAGGCAAACAATTTGAAAGAAGGGGTGGAGAAATCTTTGGAAAGAAAAAAAATCAAATGTATAACAAATAATGAAAAATATTTGACTGTCTAAACACAAATTTAATGAAATTAACAAAACTAGATTAGTCAAAAAAGATCTGACCAGTGACTTTTATAACAGAAGAAGAGAGAGGAGATGTTTAAACCAGCAGAGCCCTGTTTTATGAAAAATGCAGAAATTCTTTTCCTGAACAGTTCAACAATTCAAACCATCCAATAATAAGTATGATGACGTGACTCCTGATTAATGAAAAAGTTTAATTTTCCATGTTACTCTGGCTTAGTTTTTGCTTGAGCAAACTCTTCTATGAATAAGCGTATGAACCAAAACCCATCGGATATTACTTAAATGCTGAACGTACCAGATACACATACATGCCAAAAGCCACTCGCAATCCATTTGCATCTAACCACACAATTACCCACAGGTGACAGTCTCACAAGATGATGGCTTGTGCCATAGCAGTCACCTCTGTGTTAAACCTGGCATGGGACCGAACCCCACCCCCCGGGTACAACAGTTCTGCCACATTTGCACAGAGGAAGACTGCAGGTTGAGAAAGTGTAATGATTAACTGGCCTATGTTTTCTCCGTGCTTATGTCTGTGTCAACTGAGCTTTTCATTTCTCTTGCTGGCCCCTTGTAATGCCTTTCCAAACATGTCACCTGGCAGAGGTCACAATAGTCAGCCACTCTCTTCACATTGACAGTTACAATATCTACCACCTTCACACCTTGCTTACAGGTGTCTTTGTAGTGGAGATATGGATGCCCAGTAAGTCCTGACCTGATGACCAATTCACCGTAGAGAAGGTCTTTGGCTGCTATCTAACCAGTGAGTCTGGCCAAGCCAGTGCAGACACCACTGGATTAGCAATGAGTGTATGGTGATGGAATTAGCACACTGTGTTGATGACCTTGCCCTGCTGGAGGATGCTGAGCATTCGGCTGAGACACCGAAATTGCAGTTTGCGGCCCTCAATCAGCTTGCTGTTGTTCCAGACTGTCTCACTCAGCTTGGCTATAATGCCTGTCACTTTTTCATTGCACGTGTTGATTTCAGCATCAATTGAGAAATTGCTGGTAATTGTGGAGGCTAGATGTGTGAAGCTATCAACAATTTCCAGTATCAGATTGTCAATGCCAATGAGATCCATGCATTATGTACTCAGTCAGTTAGTCACCTATGTGTAATGTTAGTTGCCATAACATCAGAAAACACAAAACCTAGGCTACATATAAGTCTGCAATCTTATAATCATGTGAATAGTTAGTGTTGTGAATAAACTTCAAGACATCCACCTCAATACAAGCCCAAACTTCACAGTATTCTTTACAAGGGCTAATATATAGGGAATACCCTAACCATATCATTCTGGTAGTGATGCTTGACCCAAGAAACCATTTCATTTTGACATATATTTGTCTTGAATCTCAAGTGGGCAAGAGCGAACAATTTTTCGTCAATTTTGGTATGCAAGTCTACATCCTCAATAGATGACTTGAAGGCATATCACAGCAGCAGTGAAAATTTATGCTAGAACACAACCTTGTTTGATCCTGCTTCAGGTCTCAGTGAGTTCAGATGATGTACTGTCACAGTAGCGCCTAACCATCATGCTGTCATGGGAAAAGGGCATCATACTGAGCAACTTCAGCAGACAGCCAATTGTCTTCAGCAGTTTAAATTGACTTGTCCTTACTCACATTGTCAAATGCGATTGGTGGAGGCAATATTTAGTGGTCTCCATTGTTCACAGCATCACATCAGTCAGACTGGAAAACTCATAGCAATTGCAAATCTTTCAGTTCTAAAACCACACTGGGTTTCAGGATGCATGGATGCTGCCAGGGCCTGCCATTTGATGAGAGCTAATAGATAAAAATGTATCCCATGCTACTCAACGTGTAGATGCCCGAACACTTGTTGGAATCACTGAGGTTGCCCTTGATCTTGCAGAGGGCCACAATCTTGGTATCAGGTATCTGCTGTGGCACCAACACCCCTCTCACCTGAGAGAGGTCCGAGCGCTTGCTGCAGGAGTGCCAGTTTCCCATGCTTGATGTGTTCAGATAGTATATCATGAGTACTTGCAAATTTGCACCAATAACAAGTCAATCAATTGTTTTGCTAAGCTTTTCCATTGTGGGTTCCATATCTTTGGCCATGAAAACAGACTTTCTATGGTCCCTAGAACTTCCTTGAGTTTTTCCAAGAGTTCAATTCAAACTAATATTCCACCCATGTTTCCAACTGTATAGTGATATCAGTCATGACATTCCTTGACCGAGCCCTAAACCTTAATCCACTCACTACCAATATACACCAATACCAACCTGACCAGATATCCACAAATATCTAACCCATCCATTATCCAAATACACCTCAAACCCATAGAGCTGCATACTATCAAAAAAAAATTCCTGCAAACCAAATCTCACCTTTCAAGGTACTATAAGCAATAGGTACAACGGTATTAACAAATGGCAAATACCCTCGAGT